AAACTTTGATCCATAATTTACTTGGTCATATATATATTGAGCAAACTAAAGATCATATATTACATTAAAATTTCTCGAAACATCCAACCGAATGACAATAATTAAAAAAAAAATACAAATACAAGAAAGTACAAACTAAAAGACGCCACCAACAATTCAAGAATATGGTGGCATAAGATGACAAGAGTAGCTCTTGATCCCAAAAAAAAAAAAAAGGATGACAAGAGTGGCCTTCTTATTTTGCTCACTTTATTAATAAAATACCAATAATGATTTCCTTGTTGCTTTTGCAGGCACAACTTGAAGCTCTAGTAACATCTCTTGATGCTTTACAATTCACTCAAAATGTGTCATGAGGATCTCTGTGATATGGCTCTTTCGAAGCCACAATGTTGTTTTTGGGAATTTGTCAAGCAACAAAGGAATTGAAACTTATTACATATTGTTTGGTCAAATTGGCTACGTATTATCATTGAGAACTACAAAAGGAATTTCGTCCCCGAATCAAATCCCATGGAAAGCAATTAGAAATAAAGAAAATTCTTGGGTTAATATTTCAATTCACTAAAGACAGCGTGTCAGCATACACACACACATTACAATTTCACGGAAGTTTCAAACCAAAGATATACTTAGATACCCATAATTTGTGAACTATTAGCCAATGCAAGTAAATAAGTACTTTGGAAATTTTTCTTATCAGAAGTTATTTGGAGCTACTACCCAAATAATTCTTCTGGAATTTGAATTTTCATAGTTCTTGGCGCTAGCGCCAGATTGCAAGGTCTGGTACGAGGCAACAAGTGCTCCTTTAAGTTATGTGTCCTTCGTCAGTGGCATTTTAAATCCGGTCCAAATTGCACAAATCTATACAGCAGAGATTAAAGAACACCAAATCATATATTACTTTCATGGCTTCACTTGCAATGGATCCCACTGCAGAATGAAAAATCTCACTCTAAAATTTGCATGTTCCAATTAGATTCAAAATTCAGAAATTACTTTCAAATGTAGGCACATTGTGATGCACCTACTATTAAATTTAGGACTCCCTAAAATGTGATGCATCCTACTTCAAACATACCCGATAATCGAATGAGAAAATGGACTTAGAGAGCACATCGGAGAGCTTTTATCTTTCTAATGTGCAATACGTAGGCGTCTAATGAATTGATCAAAAGTATACATGTCTTTTCTCAAAACAATGAAGTGATGATCCTCTAATAACAGAAATGATGCAAAGGTAATTAATTATGTGGAACAGGAAAGATAACAAGATCAGATGAGGCCAAAGCAATAAATCATCAAAACCGTCCTCCAATTCCATTTTCGCTATCCTCCTCGCCTATCTTTTCATTCAAACCCTCAGATTTGCCAAAGACAAAACCCCCTGTATTAGTAGACGAAAACAGCCCACATTCACGTCCACCTCTCGGTCACCGTTACAGTCCCCTTGACCCCCACCGCCACAATTCTCAGATAGAAAGGAAATTGATTCACATATTCAACAGTAAAGATAGAAAGCAATGAGATATGTGGATTCTTCCAGCACAATCCTACCAAAGATGGTAGGTTTTGTCAGATCTGGAACCGTGAAAGCCGCCGGCGTTAACGCTGAGGTAGAAGGAAGATGCTGGTGGGTTTTGTTGGACTTGGAACCCTGAGAGCCGCCTGCGTTAATGCTCTCTGATCTGAACATCGAATAGGAAGGGAATTAGGTAGGTGATTGCGGCGAAGAAATAGAGAGATTTAGATTGAGTGTCGCTGATTTTAATTGCAACGAGATTATCAAAACAATTGATTTAATAGAGAGTTTGGATTTTACCACGTGGTTAAAGTCACTTAATGACTATAGTTACTATAGTCATGGAATCCAGATCAAGTGCAAGAGTCCGATAAAACCGAAAGAGAGAAAATATTGTTTTCTTCTGTTATTGATCTTTGAGTCTATGAGCAGAGAACAATTGTCTTAATCTATCCCAAATTTGAACAGACGACTAGCCTACGAGCACTAGTAGAATGGCTGGACTTGCAGAAGCCAAAATCACTAGGTGAGACCTAAGTCTTGAATTTTATACAGCATCGATGCAGGATTCGATACGGTACAACCTTCATCATTGCGTACCAAGAAACACAACAAACTGGAGTAATGAATTAAAAACGGAAGGAAGGAAAGAAGGAGAAAAAGAAACGGTCATCCCATGCCCCACTGGCAAGGTAGTCTTCATGCTGATCAAATATCGGGATTTGCAAGTCAACGAAGAACTTTGTATTGGTAAAGAATTGCCTAGTACACCTGCTCTACATTTGAAACTTATGATCCTTAAGAATTGTAACATTCAAGGTTTCTTTGATAATGCAAAGATTAAATGAACCTAGGTAATATGAAGACAACGAACCTAAGTAATACTTACATGACAAATGTACAAAATGAATCTTCATGATTCAACAATAAAGGCTTTTAGAAATTATGCACCTCTTAGAAAAATCTTCAGAGATCTTTGTAAAAGCAACCATCAAAGAATATATGGGCTAATTTCTTATAGCCAATATTTTCTTCGTAGACCACAAATTGAAAGCATTTGTTTGGGAATATTCTGACTTTTCTCAACAAGTTTGTGTTAGACAACATTCAATTAAAGAAGATTCCTCAAACATCTGATGCATTATGCATTATGCTACCTATGTATTCGACTGTTTTGAAAGACTTCTGATAGATAGGGCCGTGTGAAGGAGTTTTTGGGCCTAAGGTAAAATTATTTAAGAGGCCTACTATATTAACATTAAACTATTTTCATATCATTTTTTTAATTTATTAAAAATAGATTCAAATTTTTTATTTAACATTTTTACTGCTTCAAATTCTATAAAAATATTAAAACAACTACAATTTCAAATAAAAAATAAAAAAAGAACAAATATATGTGATATAACCAATACTTAAGATTATAACTGTTGGATTTTTTTTTTCTTTTAAACAAAACTCTGATTTTCAAATAAAAATATATAATTAACATTAATATTTAATGAGAAAAATAATGACCAATAATATAGAATATAGGTACACATTTTTGGAGGCCTAAGGCAACTGCCTCATTGGCCTAATAGTTCACACAGCCTTGCTGATTGATATCTTCATCATTAGGATTAATGCTATGTCGTTTGACTATATTTCATGCTGCCAAGTATTATATCATGTAGGCTAAGATATTTTTGAAACATCAGAGAAACTCTTACAAATTTCAAAAATTGAAAAGGAAGTATGCATAAAGCGGAAAAAAATCAACAGCAAGTTTTTTATTCCTAGAAGAATGACAAAGCATGCCTGTGTGTATTATGTAATTGAATGAAAAGCAGAATATATGAGAAAATGTGAATAAAGAAGCCTGATGTTGGGACCAAAATTAGTATAATTTGAGTCGGTCAAACTATGTTAATTGGAGATTAGGGGTGCATCTTGATGGGTTAACAAGCCCAAGTTCGTAAATCCTTGATGGCATTATGTAACCAAAAAAGACAGCAATCCGTGTCTACTACTGCCATAGATAGAAAAAACAAAAATCAAGAACAAAAAAATAAATACATTTAATGTAATTAAATAAAAATGAAAAATCATAATTAATTTAAAGCTAAAATTTTAGTTTCAAACCAAATGATGCTTATGTTTTCTATCATTCTTTCTTCAAACCTATAAAATAAAGAATTCAATTTAAAAAAAAACCTTAATCCTATTAATATTAACTATCAGGGAAATAATAACAGAAACATTTGTAATTGCAATTGTCTCATTGATAAGGCTACCTCCCTTCTAGCGTAAGGTCCAAAACTCAAACCTTATATTGGTATTTGTGTGTGAGTTGTAAATTTCAGAATTGATTCATTTTCATTAAAAAAGTTTTCCTTCCAAATTATCTAAGATACTGCCTCCGTTCAGAAATATAATATAAGGTATTTTTTGAGGAGTTGAATGTTCAAAAATGTAAGGCATTTTTAGTCTTTCGAGGTGTAATCATTACCATTTTTTCAAAAGTGCCCCTATTGATAATGACTTTATATTTATTATAGGGTGGTTAATAGGGGTAAATATAAAAAGATAGAGTTAGTTTAAAAGTAGGTAATTATTTTATTTGGAGGTGAGATTTGATTAAAAATGTCTTATATTTTTGAATGGAGGGAGTAGTATATTGTTTTTTTAATAGAAATATATTACTTTTTTGTTGTGAAAAATAATTCAATTTAGTACAGACTTCATTTGGTGGTTTATGTTAGCATGGTATCTTGGGTTATGCTAGTCATTGGACAACATTGGCATTGGTAAAGAATTACCTAGTACCTTCTCCACAATTGAAATTTCTAATTCTCAAGAATAATGACATGCATCTTGGAATCTCTTCCCTATATGCAACAACAAAGAAACATCTATTTTCTTGTTTCTCATGCTCTATTTCCTTCTCTGTTTTAATTCCTTTATATTTCTTCTTCTTCTAACTTTCAATGCATTTTTTTTTTGGTGCCACATTCATTGCCAGCCTCGATGTGTTGGTTTTAAATCTGATTCACCCTCTGGCTTGTACGAATCAATTCCCAAATATGTGATAATGAATTATGAAACTATTATTTTGGTATTCTATACATCAATTGAGGAGCTTTCGGTTTTTATTATATGCAGGCCTCAATCATAACTTGATGATCTGATAAAGAGTTAAGAGCCTAAGGATATAACATACAAGAAAATAGCATGGACTATCAACAACTTCCATTCATTGAAGAACAATACTGCACACATTTATGAGGATTTCACAATCAGCTGTTATGCTTAGTAGAATGAAATCTTTCATACACAAATATTTTTCATGTCTCACTTTTATCAAAATCTCTTATTCTATAAATACAATTCTTCACTTCTTTCTTTATCTATTTTGTTTTTGTGTGTGTGTGTGTGTGTGTTTTGTAGGAATATTTAGTTATACAGAGGAAGATGAGATGTAAAGTACTTGGCTATGTTTTCGGGTGTAGTTGATGTTTCGAGTTTACCTCAAGGTTGGATTATATATGCTGTCTGTACTTTCATTGTGGTTTCAAGTTTGCCTCAAGGTTGGAGTATATATGCTGTCTGTACTTTCATTGTGGTTAATCAAATTTGCAGTGAAAGTTCCATAAAACAAGGTATCATTCCGTCCTGCTTCACATTGTTTATTGTTCTTCTAGTCGGCAGTAGGGAAAATAAATGTTAGACTATAAGGGCCTCATTATTATAATAATGTATATAATTTTAAATTGGAATGAGATCAATTATAATCGTAGACTTTCAATGATGTTCCTTTAATGCAGTTTTAGAACAAAAGTTCTACACTGATGCTTATAATTGGGGTAAAGGATCTTTTATGGAATTGACTAGGCTTCAAAACCCATCTAATGGCTATATTTTGAATGATAATTGCATTGTTGAAGTTGAATTTTCTAAAGTAAGCCTTGTAGGCACTCGAGCATTGGTCCCAAGGGATGATGCTACTGTTGAGTTCAAGGATTTAGGACTATTAGAGAAAGTATTTGCTCTACTGCTAGAGGAGGCTTGTTCGTGGCATCCTTCATTGATGGATTGTAAGCAAAAGAGAAGTCGTAAATTTATTGAGCGGGCATTTATTGTATTGAGTTGAGTTTTGCAATTCTTGAAGAACAAAAAGTGGAAGGATATGAATGAGAAGGCGTGTGAGGAACTTTAACATTTGTGTGAGGAACTTGAGATGAGTAGATTAAACTTGAGGTGATTAGAGCCTCTTGTTAAATCAGCTTTAAATATGAAAGGATATGCTGAGAAGGTAGAGATAATGAAATGGTTAAGCAAAATCTAGTGGTTTTGGAGATAGAGATGAACAAGACAAAGGAAAAACTAACAAATACAGAACAAAGTGTTGAGATGATAAAAAAAAATTGGTAAATGCAAAAGACGACTTCGAAGATAAGGATCTGGATGCAAAAATTTTGGTATGGAAAATTCTAGTCATTATATATGCATTGATAATGTAACAATATAGATATCCTAGATATACATAAGAATTTCAGTTCACCCAAATTATAATATCATTTATATTTGATAATATAATGTACTACATGGTTTATGTTTGCGTAGGTCTACCTATAACTTCTCTAGAAAATAAATTTGTATAAGCAATACCAATTGTTAACTATCGGTCTCTTAAGGCTTAATTTCTCAAAAGTCTATTTTGGCTATGAATTTCATACCAGGATGGTTTGAAGTAGCCCATCATTGCCATTTGCCAACTTATTTTAGGCCAGAAATTTCCGATTAATTCCATGTTCATTTTATCTTAATCTTATTTATTTAGCGTCAGAGATTCACTGTAGATCTATAGTAAATTTCATATTTATTTTAAAAATTATTTAAAAATGTATCTTTTAGAAAATATTTTAAAAATCTAAATCATGTTGCCTGCAGTAAAATTGTCAGTCACGATATTGGCAAAATATTTTAAGAAAATTAATTATTAATGATACATTTTTTAAAATCATATTTTATTATAATATATAATAAGATATTATATATGGGATAAAATAAGTATTCCCTCTTGTTAATAATATAACTATAATAAATACATGCTAATCAATAAAGGATATTTTAATTGAAAAAATAGTTTAACTATTACAAGGATTTTTTTTATTTTGAACCGAAAATTATTTCTAAAAGATGCTCTAGAAACAGAATTAGAGTATAAGATAATAAATTTTGGAGTTTAAATATAATTTTTAATTTTAATATATACATATATAATAAATTTTAAAATAAAATATTCTACTTAAATTTTTAATATGGACAATGAATTTTAAAAAATATAATTATAAGAAAAATTCTTAGGTAAACTCATCTTTTATACAATATTTTCCTTCAACTTTTGAAAGCAATGCAAACTGAGCTCTACTAGTAACAAAAGTTAACTTTAACTATTATTTAATCAAAAAAGGATCTAAAAAATCATAAAAAGTACCAAAAAAATTATAGTGCAATTTATTTTTATATATTTTTATTTTTTTAATATTATTAAAATATTGCTTTTACTTTTTTCCTTTGTTTTGAAATCGAATAAAACATTAAACTCTCGTGTATCATACGGGACTAAAATCTAGTTATTTTATATAACTAAACAAAAATAATATATATATATATATATATATATACGCACGCGCGCGCACTCTCCTATGTATGTATTGGATTACTTAGGTTCATTGTCATCTTCATATATATAAATATATATAGATATATGAATATGATAAATATAAAAAATGAATCTGCATGATCCAAAGATAAGGGTTTTTATAAATTCTGCACCTCTTGAGAACATCTTTTTAGAGATATTTGTGAAAGTAACTATCAAAGAATAGATGAGATAATTTCCTATAGCCAATCTCTTCTTCATGGACCACAAATTGAAAGCATGCATCTTATATAACATTCTCCATCACTGGAAAGTCTCTTACAATTATTGTTGAGCTTAAAGATAGGATAAAATCATGTTTAAGATAATTTAAGACAGTTTGTACTTAGAAAAAAAATCATAACATCTTAAGTTTGAAGACTTAATTAATATTAGAAAGATATTATTCCATGGTAATTTGAATTCACCATGTAATTATTTAAGTTAGGAGAATTTACTTAAAATGAAATAAATTTTTAAGATTTAATTTCAACATATTTTTAAATAAGGAGAAATTTACAAGGCTAAGTGAGATTAAAAAAATAGAATCTTAATTGTTTTATACTTACCTAAATATTATTTAAATTAGATTGAAACTAAATACAGTTAATATTTAATTTTTGGTTTCAAAAGAACCTTTATTAATAGTAATTAAATTATACTAGAAAATTTAAGTGTCAAAATATGGGGAGAAAATGGTAATTTTGATATATGTGTGTAATGTAAAAATAAAAAGATAGAAAAATACAAGATAAGATAACAAAAAAAAGACATAAATAAATAAAAATAATAATTAGTATTCAAGAAAAGCAAAAAAGAAAAAGAAAAGGTAAACCAAGGGTTGGCACGTGGCTCACTACTAGTTGGATAAAGGATACTACACATACCCTTGAATCATGATCAGCTGCTCCTCAAAATTCTTTCGGCAGCTGTGTAGAGAAATTTCGAGTGGGAGAGAGAGCGAGGTGCGCAGGGAGGGAAAAAATTTATGAAAGCCATATTCAATTATTTCAAGAATGGGTCAAGACTTTCTAAAGCCAGATAAGCATCCTAAAATTTACATTCTAGTCAATTTCATTAGGTTCTAGTGGATTTAAAATTAAAAAGAGATCCTAAAGACTAGATAAAGTTGTTAAGTGGTGATTCTAGAACTATTTTAAAATGATAGAAAATAGTTTGGAAACTCTATATAATTCTGGATAACTCTAAAAGCTATAGAAATTAATTTAAAACTCTTTAGAGCAACTTATGAATTAAAAGTGACTTTAGAAAACAAATTATAATTAATTAAAATTTAATTTAATTATTTACAACACATGCTCACGAACACTCTAAAATTAAAAAGTAATAATCAACATAATTTAAAATTATTTTATGAAGTCTTTGAGATAAATTGAGAAAATCTAAGATTGAAAAAACCTTAAATAAAATTAATAAGAATTTTTTAAAATAGTTTTAGAGTTACAAATAACTCTCACAAGTACTTTGTGACAGCTTTAGAGTAAGAAATAAATTAAATTAAATTTGAATTGATTTGATTTCAATTTCCTGATTTTCTTGTTTGTAGATGTGTAAGGAGCATTTTAGGAATTTTTTAATTTTAGGTTAGATGTTTTAGTTAGCTAGAGGACCTTTTACAAAGAGACTTCAAGTTTTGTTGGTGAATTCAAATCCAAGTAACTTATTTTTATATTACCTTATATGCTAGTGTGGGTAAATGTTGAACTGTTTGTATACTAATAATGAATTGAACCTAAATAGCATATTTGTAATAATGTTTTGTTAAAACTCGGCCTCGTGGTTAACAAAGTAGTTTTTTTTTTCCGTGAATCTTTAGTAAAACTTTGGTTAGTGAAAAAACCTAGAAATTTTTATAACTGTTTGTTTGGAATTTCTAGGATTAGATAGACTCATATTGACAGTAATTTAATTGGTTGGAGTTTGGTTGAGTTTTTTGAATTGATATAACATATGAAGTTTGAAAGTGTTTATATGATGATAAACATTGTAATTTTTTAGACTACTCAGTGTGAAAATTATAATTTGATGTAGAACATATTGGAATTATGATGTTATGAGGTGGTTGTAAGTTATGAATTTTGTAATAACCCAAAAATTTAATTAAAATTTAAAATTGAGTGTAAAGAATTTTAATTATATTTTTATTTATTTTGAGGTAGGTTAATAATAGTGAATTGGTTGCTTAATGGTAATGATTTTGGATGTCCCTGGATAGGTCTAGAATTTGAATCTCCCTAGAGTACAAATGGGGATTTTTTTTTTATTTCCTTCAGCTTGTTTTTAGCTTGGGTGAGATTACCATATTGCCCTTATAATAATAATAATAATAATAATAATAATAATAATAATATTAATATTAGAGAGATTAGAGAAACAAAAGATGCATGATTATCCTCTACTCTGTTTTCCATTTTCCATTTTTGAACATTCCAGAGGCAAGAGAGAGTGAGAGCTTGACCTACATCGTCCTTCTCTACCTTCCCCATTTTTCTTCCGATCTAGTTCAGGTCGCTGGCGAGGGTGTGAAGGGATTCTTCCTCCTCTGTCTGAACAACCATGGAAGTGTGTCGAGACTCTGTTCCTTCTTCCTCCTCTATTCGTCCCTTCTTCGTGTTTCTGCTGTGGATTTTGCCGTCGATTTTTCTCTTTCTCATGCTCGCCATAGCCGTTTCTACTCGTCCTCTTTTTTTATTTTAGTAGCAGTGTCGAAGATCTCCCCTCTTTTTCTACTTCGTCGTTGTCTGTGTGTTGGTATGTATGGAACTCATCCGTCTTCTCGCTTATAACTTCATTAATCTAAGTAGGAGCTCCAGGTTCTCTTTGCTCTTGCTTTTGTGCGCACGGATATATGTATGTTTTAATGGTTGAGATTGTGATTCTCCCTTATGTTGCTGTATGTGTTTGAGGAGGGAGGGGAAATTGATTCAACTTGGAATTCTAGTGTTAGGATTACGATCAAGATGAGAATGGATGGATTTCGTTTTCTCTGAGCTGAAATTTGATTTTTGAATTAGAAATGAAAATTTTGATATAACCATTAGTATTATTGACTTGATGGAATTTTATCACTAATTGCTGACTAGCTTTCTTGCATAATACATATATTATGCTTCATTTTAAGATTTGCAAATCCATGCACTTATGCTACTGAAAGTGTTGGAGAAAAGATGATGATAGATACCCTTTGCCATTATATGACAGCTGTGATGTGGTGGAGAAAAATAATTAACAGTTAGTAGGGTAAATTAGCCTCTTTTAGTTTTATTGTTTACGCATTGTGAATTAAAGAGGTCAAAATATAGTTTTGCATAAATGTAAATGAAGGGGTTGAGTAACATATATTAGGGGTTTTGATTGAATGTCTTAAAGGTAACTTTACTGATGTTTTAGACCATTTCAATGAAAAATTTGTATATGCGGTTTTC